CTCCTGTACTACGTCGGCAGGCAACGCAGAGCTAACGATAGATCCATGCTAGGACCGCGCTGCCCTAGCTGTACGCTCCTATATTCTCCCATGGCTGGCTCAATATGTTGAGGAAGGCCCAGCTGATGGTGTTACCCAACGCGTCGGGGAACAGGAAGGCGCCTAAGAAGTGCCACAACCACACCCTAGCATACCTCTCGATCTCCTGCTCTGGAGCGTTTGGGTGCAGCGGCGCCCTAAAGTTTTCTGTTATCTAGCTCGAACTGACACCGGATGTTTTCCTGAAATATTTTGTAAACATTAAATTAGAGCTGACACCGGATGTTACATGAGAGCTGAGGGAACAAAAACAAACATTAAACTAGACAAAGACATTATGCATCATAAAAGTTATCTACTACACCCTCCATGTAAATAGCAAAATAATTTGTAGAATATGTGCTGGTGTCAAAATGGTAAATGTTTGGAACGTAGAAATTCTTACTTTACTCTCTTAGCATCCTCGTCCTCGGGTGGTCTTTTGCCATAGAACTGCTCCACCAAGTCCATCCATTGATCATTATCAAGGATCACAGTCACTGGAAGAACCCCAACCGCAGACACAGAATCATCTTCACGTCCTGCATCGTGATAGTCATCTCACCGCACGGAAGGTGGAAGGTGTGGGTCTCTAGCCTCCACTTGTTGGTTTTTAATTCAATATAAGAAGTTTTTTAATTCAAACAATGAGACAAATTAATGCTTTGTACTGTCACAAATTTGTATCAAATCATACCTATCGACAGCAGCAGTGAGAAGTGCAGGGTCGAGGATTGGTAGCCCAGTGTTGAAGACCCGAACGATCTCAAGGAAGCCGGCACGCTGTATGTACGGCTGGTATCGCTGGTCCCAACGGTGCGGCTGGTGCGTGCGTAGTCTAAGAGGTACCAAGTCCTCCTGAAGCTCCGACAGGCGCTTGGCTCGGTGGTCCTTGTCGTAGTGCACCTCAAGAATGGGGTACTACGGATGATGATCCCCCATCCTGGTTCAAATTTCAAATAGTTATGTTAGAACAAACATTAAGAGTACTATAATATGATGAAACATTAGTGCATAAAAACAAAGTAAATGTAAAAGGAATAAACTATTATGCAAAATTAGAGAATAAACATATATCATAATAAACATAGCTCCAAGGTTCCAATGTACTAACATAGTAGTTTTAAATAGCATAGCAAACAATTAACATTAATATAATAAAATGTATGCTATATGCACCTGCTGCCCTTGTCTTCTATGCCTGCTAGCCTTGTGACCAGGTTCTTTGCAAACGGAGCAAAGATTCCTACCATAGGTCTCGTTGAAGTCTCCCCTCTGTACATGTCTTCGCTGTACCCTCTCATAGCGTCCATGTCCCCCATGAGTCGCTTCTTCTTCCTCCTACCCTTGCCTACCTTCATTAGATCCGGATGCGGCACATAGTCATAACCATGATAAGGTGCCCATTGTGTCGGGTCAAGGTATGGATCGAAGCTCCTCTCCCAAATACTAACGGTGTTCGAATAGAGATACAAGGGTGACATATATGGTAGATCCTCATAGTTATACCCATGAACCCTGCAGGCCGTGATCATATGAGAGCAAGGGGCATGCATGATCTGAGGGACGTTGCAACTGCACTCTACTTTTTCAAGATCAACTCGGTAGTTTCGTCCACCATAATGTTCGCCGCCCAAGCTTGTGTCACCCTTGCCCCGTACACTAAAGATATGACGGCGGGGTCCATACGGCTCGGTGGTGTGCTGCTTGGCTAATTCCTCGGCCTCCTTCAAATGTTCTGCTCTGGCCTTTCCAAAATGCCCCTGCTCAGCTATATTCCTCTGCGCAAGTTCCCACCTCTTGACAAAATATTTGTTGCACTTATGAAAAGAGAACTCAACAATTCTAGACACAGGCAATGATCGAACTCTGGTGAATACACGGTTGAAAGACTCCAAGGAGTTAGTGGTCATGATGCCATACCTAAAACCCCCCTCGTCATATGCTAACGCCCACTGAGCCTTATGTTCCATCCGCGCCTCTAACCAGGCCTTTCCCGCTTCATTTAGCATCTTGTCTAGTTCTATCTTTGTCTCCTTGAACTGGTGCTCTATACATACACAACATAGAGCCTTTACCTTGTCACATACCTCCTTCTTCCTCTGACGCCGCCATAAATTAGCGGCAAAGTGTCTCATGCACCATCTGTGCACTAGAGGCGGGAACCCATCTATATGCTTAGCTACAACATTAAGAAGCCCTGGGTGACGGTCCGAGATCAAACATATAGTGCGAGATGGGACAAGCACTTGTACACGTAGAAGCCGCATGAACCATGACCACGATTCATTGTTCTCTCCCTTTACCAAAACAAAAGCCATGGGTACTATCTGGTCCTCAGGATCAACAGCAACATCCATCATCAAGATGCCCTTGTACTTTCCAGTCAGGAAAGTGCCATCAACAAGTACGACTGGCCGACAAAACTAGAATGCATGTTCCATTTGCGCAAATGACCAGAACACACGATAGAGGACATGCCTCAACGGGTCCCAAAAATACATCCCTCTGGTGTCCACAAACCATTTCAAGCCAGGGTTGTAGTAATGCATTGCACATAAGATGCGAGGCACCCTATTGTACGCATCCTCCCAGCTACCCCAACGAATCGCCAGGGCAATTTGCTTAGCACGCCAAGCCTTTTTGTACTTCACATCATACTTAATGAATCCAGATATGAACTGTTGTAAAGAAGACACCGAAATGTCGTTATTGTCATCAACAAGCCCCAATATACGATGGGCAAGGTAACATACAGTGAGCTGCTGATGATTTTCCTTCCCCCTATTTGTTAGGCAAGTGTGGGGTTCGACCACTTTACTTATCCTCCACTTGCCATTACTCTGTCTCTTTCGTGCATTTAACCTCCACATACAACCGTTTTTGCATATCATGTGGTACCTCAACTCCTGGTCTGAATGAGTGACGATGTACGTCCTGTGGTGATACACAGCATAGTCCTAAAGGAAGAGCTTCATCTCTGACATTGTATTGAATATCATCCCCTTCCTAATGATTTATTTGTCATGGTCATACAATGATTTCCTACACATCTAGAGACCGGTGTCACAAACTGCCATATCCGTCGTGCTAACATCCCTATAGTTCGGAACGCCCCTGAAAGCTACGTTCATCGACCTTAGTTGCTCAAGCTCAGTCACTGTGTAAGGTGGTGGTAGAACATATTGCTGCGCTTCGCTAATTCTACCCCATGAATCATAGGGGGTATCATCTGCTGGCAAATATGTGACTAGTCTACTCGAAGCCTGGATAGCATGCAAAACCTCAGTTGGTACTGGTAATAGCATACCATGAACAGGTACTGGCATAGCATGTCTACCTCCCTGGTCATCATCTGAATCATCCGAATCACTGCTAACTACATCACCGATCCTGTCCTCCTCCTCCTCTTCCAGTTCAAACTCGTTCACATCGAAGTCATTGCTTATACAACCTACTTCACTTGAATGAAACTGCTCCTGCGTCAACTGATCGTCCAAATCTATGTTACCCTGAGTTGCTTCCCCTTCGACCCCCAATTCTTGCTCATTGCCTCCAACACCGTCAATGGACGGCCCATCCAGGACACCCTGCATCCTATACCCATTCTCCACCACCACCTTAGCCTTTGGCACATTGGAATCTTGGAGCACCCTATTGTAACAGGACCAGTGAGCAAGGTCGCGCAAGGGCATCAGGACATAGTGTGTCCTAGTCTTCCCAGTATCAAACCTCCTCTTAAGTGTGAAATCACCGCCAAACTTTGCATTTAAACGGACAAAAAGGTCGTTGAAGCTAGGAGGTTCATCAAACCATTCCAATTCTTCTTCCATATCCTCAAACATACCATCTTCTCTCCTAACACTTCCTCCATAGAAAACTCTAACACAACAATCCATCTACAAAAGCGTTTTAGAAACTTCATCAGGTCATCGAAATTGTCGTGCGCACTAATTAACTGACTACACCTATACTAACTAACTATACTAACTAATCTAATATTAATACCTATACCAACAATTCTAACTAACTATACTAACTAACTACACTAAACACACTAATATTAATACCTATACTTACTATACTAAGTAACTTTACTAACTATACATATCTAGCTAACTGCAAAACTATACATAACTTATATTTACTAACTTCACTAAATATCTTTGCTAACTAATTGTATAAATATCTATCCAGTCAAACTAAATTTGAATCCTAACCCTACCAAAAAAATTGACAGAGATACAGAAGAGCATTACCTCGACAAAGATTATGGGTCACCACAATCCACCAATGGAAAGGGGATGGCCGCCGGCGGCAATGGCCGGCCGGCAGCGGCCTACTTCTGGAGGGCGGCGGCAATGGCCGGCCGGCCTGCGGGAATCCCCCCTTCTGGAGGACGACGATGGGGATGGGCTGCGCCCGGCAGTGGGGAGATGGAGGGGCGGTGGTGGCAGTACGGGAGGCAACGAGACAGGGGGAGATGGAGTCGGGAGGACCGCACATGGCGGGGGCGCCGGTCGCGGCGGCGCGCGGGCGTGTTCACCAAGGCGGGCGACGGGCATGGCGGCTGTGGGCTCGCTGGGCGGCGCGGGCGCGGCGGTGGTGGTGGCCGAGTGAGAGAAAGGGAAGCGAGGCCGGGTACAAGGGACCGCCAAGCGCCAGTGATGCGTGGCGCGGCAGTTCGCCACAAGAATGACGGGTGGCGCGGAGACTCGCCACATCACGGATCGCCGCAGCCTGCTGATCGCTTATCGCCGCCTCCATGCATGCATGGCGCGGCAGAGTGAATTAGCCGCGCCGTGCAAACAGGCACATCCAAAAGTGTTAGTTTAAAAAAAATAAGTAGTGTCAGTTTTAAAAATAATTTAAAAATGTGTTAAAAATAAAAAAAAAATCCGCCGCCGTCAGGAGTGGACAACATGACCAAGCTGGCGTACCTCCACGAGCCGGGCGTCCTGCACAACCTCTCCTGCCGATACGGCCTTAACGAGATATATGTGAGTAATTTAATTTTGCCATCGGGATGGGGATCCTTAGCTTCGTGCTTCCTCCGTCCCAGTATAGACATCGTTCTCGTCTTCCGAGAAGTTAAATGTTTTTAATTTTAACTAAATACATGTAAAAAAATTAATATTTATAAAATTATAATACATAATTATTATCATTAGATAGATGTTGAATTTATTTTCATAATAAACTTATTTTAAAATATAAATGTTGCTAATATTTTTTATAAATATAGTTAAATTTAAAAGAGTTTCACCAGCACGATTACATGGCGACACTTGTTTTAGGAATGGAGGTACTACCTTCGTCCCCAAAAGAATGCAATTCTAGAATAGTGTCGTGTTTTAGTATATTAAGTTTGACCAATTATAAATAAAAAATTATAAATATTTATAGTATCAAATTAATACCGTTAGATTAATTATAAAATGTATTTTCATAATAAATTAATTTAGAGTCATAAATATGAATACTATTCACTAGAAACTTAGTCAAATATGAATAACTTTTCGTAACCCGTAAACCATGGTCGTTTTTAACTTTTCGTAACCCGTAAACCATGGTCGTTTTGTTTTAGGGACGGAGGTAGTAGTATGTACACTTGGTTTTGTCCTTGTCCCGAACTGCTCAAAGCTTCCATTCCGCTACAGCTAACAAACCGTAAGCGTGTCGACCTGACAGACGTACACCGGGAACATCTTGCCTCTCCTGTACGACGTGCACATGATGGAGCAGTACAAGGGCGCCAGCTTTGGGGAGCTCAGCCCGCATCTCTTCGCGATCGCAGACGCCTGCTACAGGTCTGCGTGTTCTGGTCCATAATCTCTGTAGATACGATACGGTTCATCGGCTGAAGGCTAGCTGATCGGCGTTCTTCCTTGTGTCAATAATGCAAAAATTTCAGGGCGTTGATCAATGATCAGGGGAGTCAGGCAATCCTGGTGAGTGGCGAGAGTGGTGCCGGCAAGACGGAGACGACCAAGATGCTCATGAGGTATCTCGCATTCATGGGAGGAAGGTCCGGTACCGAGGGACGGACGGTTGAGCAGCAGGTTCTAGAGGTAGGAAAAGCTTGCCATTTCCTCCTCTCTCTCTCTCTCTCTCTCTCTCTCTCTCTCTCTCTCTCTCTCTCTCCTTTTTGATCAGAGCGTCCGCACTAACCTCTTTATTTTTGTACTATGCTCATATAGTCTAACCCAGTACTTGAAGCATTTGGTAACGCAAAGACAGTGAAGAACAATAACTCAAGGTGGACTCTTGGATCAGTAATAACTGCAATTGCACTTTAACAAAATATTGTTTGGTTCTTCTTTTACCATATGCTTAAACATGTCTGCCATTTCAGTCGATTCGGTAAGTTTGTTGAAATCCAGTTCGACAAGTATGGGAAGATATCAGGGGCTGCTGTTCGCACATACCTCCTTGAACGATCATGAGTATGTCAGGTCTCTGATCCTGAGAGGAACTACCATTGCTTTTACAAAAATTCTCTAGGACACCGTAGCACAGACAAGCACGACACGGCGCCGTTGCACAACACGTGATCCCTGGCCCCACCCGTCGTTCCACACCACGCAGGCCAAGAAGCTGCAGCCATCTCACTGGTAGGCCAGCAACAAACGTCGTCCATCTAAACCGTGTCGCAGCAGGATCTCTGTGCGGCGGTTCTGCATAATTTTTTTTCCCAACCAAAGGGGCCCTTATGTTTCATATATAGCTGAAAACAAAATATGAGGTGGCACCATGGACAAAATGGTAGTACCTGTTAGGGACTTTTTCATGGCCAACATTGTGAAAGAAATAGCTGAAATCTGCGTCCCTACTGAAATTTTATTTTGATAACCATGGGTAGCTATAGAAACATGTTTTGTTCAAATAGCTGCAGTTTATATCAATGCCTAACCCCACTATCCAATACCTAACTACTGAAGATTCTTTGACCTTTCATTAACTATGGATGTTGTATTTTTATGATTCGAGTGTATTCCATAATTGCACCGGATAACTTAGAGGCACACTTCATTATACCACTGCAGGTATGTGTACTAAGTGAAATTTGACGAACAAAGCTGCATATTGTTTCTCTTTTGTATGCCTGAATGATGTCTGTACTCTTATTCTTGTGTACGCACTTGTTGTGCAGCATTGTTACTTGTTCGAGATTTGTATCTAGACCAAATAGATCCATCCCCTAACTACTGGCTTTTACTGTCGCGATAGACGTTGTCGACAACATATGTAGTTGATTTAGAATAAGAAACATATTTTTCATCTCATTTACACTTAGGTCAAAATACATGACTGATGACACCTACTTCAAGACATCTAGTTAGGCAATTTTTGTTTGGTGGATTCAGTGTCATGGTATAGGATTGATAGGTTCTTAATTGATTGTTTTTTTCCTTCACTCATGCACTTAAGTGACAGGTACACTGCGCAAGCTATCTAATAAAAGTTTAGACGTGACAAAGAGACACTATGCCATGTATACATCTCCTCACAAAACATGTCTCTTTTTTTACTGCATTTCATACACTATGGAAGACAGAGAATCAAAGAATGGAATACAGTTGTACGACAAACTTAACCTTATTACCGAAGTTTTTAACTTCTATCTCTCATTCATGTAAATGCCATTGGGGTTTTCACAGGATGCTTCTTCTTCTATCTATCCCATAATATTGTCTTGGTTCAATTTCTTTCAATACCTACACAAATTGTGTATCTTTACTACTTACAAGTAAGTGGTGTTAGTAGGCCTGGATATCGACCTGGCTCGGCTCGGTTCGGTCTGGCTCGGTAGGATAACGATATGTCTCGAGCTGGCTCGTTATAACTAACGAGCTAAAAGGCTGGCTCAGCCAAAAGCTAGAGCTAGCTTGTTTGACTCGTGAGATAGTGACAAAAAAATATAAAATGAAGACTACCTTACATTCCAATGAGTCATACAACACATATTCATCCATGATACATGCAGCAGCAAGCAGCACATGCATATGCTTAAAGCGTGGCTCGAGTTGGCTCGTTATACCTAACGAGCTAAAATCTTGGCTCGGCTCAACTCGTTATGGTAACGAGCTGAGCCGAGCCGAGCCGAGCCAAGCCAGCCATGAGCCGAGCGAGCTAACGAGCTTCGAGTTTTTTGTCCAGCCTTATACCTATGATCAGCAGTACTATATTTACAATGAAACCGAGATATGTCTCATGCACATTTAGTTCTACATATTGATTCAACTCGGTTACTTAAGAATATTCCCTATTTTTAGTGGGAATTTCACTTAATACTTATGAACAATCCTACATAATCATCTGTGCTCAATTTTCTCAAATTTATATTTGTCATTAAACTTGCACCTTTCAAGTACAGAGTATATTAATCTATTCTATTCTTCAGGAACCTTCGTCTGTACGAACCACTAAAAAGATGGTAACGAAGTTTGGCTGACATTAGCGTCACTACTGACATTACCTAGGGTTTCTTCACATGTTTTACCTTCCTTTAGTTTTGTGCTAACCTCAAAATGCTAGCTTTGAGGCCACAAAGGACTAAAGGAGTCATTGGATTAGGAATTAATGGAGCCAAGAATGAAGATTGGAGACCTCAAAATAGATCTGAAGATCTGAACAAGCCTGACAATGTAGGGTCTTGTGATTTTGTTTAACAATTGTGTGCACAATATTATATGGTACCAAGGTTAAGCTTTTTTCTTGTCTAAGACCATGTAATAGTTACCCTTGGAGATTATGTAAGAAACAAACAATAGCGGATGAGATTTTGTTGTCAATCTTTACAATAATATTTATGCATTTATGGTTTTTAGAAAATGAAGCATTATATATGCTTTATTTCATATCAATGCATGAAACAATTCTCTGATGAACTATTGAAATTAGAGATAAGTCAAGGCAGGGCGCCTGAAGCTCTAGTCTATAATGATTCCACCTTTAGATAGCTTGGTAGACATGTCCTAGTGGACTATGAATATAGGGGAGATATAATCTATAAATTCAAGCAAGAAAATAGAGGATTCATCCTCCTATTCTCCATGACCTAAGCCTCCATGCACCTCCCCTCTCCCTGGACGATGCCTTGCAGCCCCCTGCTGCCCTAGGCCCCCTCCCTCTCCCTCTCCCTCTCCCTCTCCCTCTACCTCTCCACTGCCCTAACCCCTCAAATCAATATATAATATATATGCCCACCACATGAGAATATTTCCATGACATGCCTCATGTTATTTTCAAAGAATCACAGAGGGGAAGTATTCAAATATTCAATAGGAAAAAGATACTGTAGCTGATAATACAAACCTACTGCTAATAATAATTTATAATCGTCATTGTAACAAATAAAAGGAAAGGCAAATCCAAAGATTAATACAACCTTATTGTCGGTGTTTCGGACCGGGGGTCCTCTACCAACTAGTGAATTTGAACTGCGTGCCCCTAATCCCGGATGGTGATGCAAAGAGACACAAGGTTTATACTGGTTCAGGCAATCAATGCCCTACGTCCAGTCTGAGAGATCGATCTTGTATTCCTTGCACCGAAGTGCTAGTAATAGGGGGTTACAAGCACAGGGAGAGAGGGAGCTAGTCCCAGGTCTCGGCGAGGTGTCGTGTGGGCTGCTTGAGACGTTGCTCTCAGGCGGCTGGGATGTGTATGTGTGTGAGCTACCAGGTGTTCTTCCTATTTCTCCTCCTTCGCCCTCCCGAGCTATCCCTGACCACTTCCTTTTCTAACCGCAAGGAGGGAGCCAGGAGTACATGAGTGAACTATACGTGGAGCCTACTGTAGTTCAGTCCTGTAGCAGCATGGTGTTGGGGATGGCGATTGGTACTTGACTGGCGCGCCGTGCTGGCCGGGCCCGAGGTCGTTGAGGTCGTGGGAGTCCTTGTTGATGTCTAGTCAGTACGGCTTCCACTGTAGGAGGCATGTCGTGCCTTGTGTGTTCTTGACTTGGTGGAGTGCCGAGGCCTGGCAGGTGCTGTAGCTGATCGTGCCGAGGCCTGTTTTGCCGAGGCCTCGGAGGTGACCCGTGTATGATGCAGGGGTCTCGGTGGTCAGCGTCGTACCCGGTTCAGGCGGAGAAGTGCGGAGCGTGTGTCCACAGGGCACGGTAACCCCTGCACCGTCAGTAGGGGATGGTAAAAAGGAGATTTGACCGCTGTCCCATCGCCCCTGTTGCTGTACCCTGTCGGTCGTGGCTAACGTAGTAGGTGCGACCAGGCGCATTTAAACGGATGTGACGGCTCGCCAGAGGGACGGTTGAGGCGGAGGCGACGAGGATGCGGGACGAGCCCGGTCTCGGCCGAGGCGGAGAAGGAATAGTACGTCCGAGGCCCTGCCGTGGGGTCTTGGACGAGGCGGAGGCGATGAGGATGCGGGACGAGCCCGACCTCGGCCGAGGCGGAGAAGGAATAGTACGTCCGAGGCCCTACCGGCGGGTCTCGGACGAGGCGGAGGACGAGCGGTTGGTCTTCTATGCTGATTCCAAGACTACTGGGACCCAGACTTGACCCTCCACGCCACTTTGTCCTTGGCGCAGGAGTTAGGTAGCACAGGGCAGTATGGGTATCAGCAGGGGGCACAGTGATGAGCACAGTGGTAGGTAACCCCTGTTGTGCCCGGTCCCCTGTCGCGTCGGTCATTCTGCCTATACTGTGCCAACGTGCGGCTGACGTTGCGGGAGTAGTGGGGCGCATTATCTGGACGTGACGTTTTGTCAGGGGAGTCGGTCGGGACGGAGGTGACGAGGTTGTTGCCGAGCCCAGCCTCGGGCAAATCAGAGAATTGGTATCCCATCCGAGGCCTTGCGGGGCGGGGCCTCGGTGAGAGGGCCTCGGCAGGGCGGAGGGCTTTGGCCTTTCGTCTGAGGCCTCGGCGCAAGCCTTGGGCGAGTTGGAGAGTCTATCGAGACCTCGTGGTTGTCCTTTGACTTTGATTTTTGCAAGGCTTAAGCAATATTTTCGGTTCTTGCTTAGGGTACCCCTTCTTGTGGTATCCAACAGTAGCCCCCGAGCCTCGGGAGGAGTGCGGGCACTCTCCCGAGGTTTTGATGAGACTTGGCTCGTAGCAGCTCCCGTCGGGATTGTGTTTTGTACTTGGTGGTTCCGGTGGGTGCGCGCGAGCGCACCCGCCGGGTGTAGCCCCCGAGGCCCTGGAGGAGTGGAGTTACTCCTCCGGGGGCTTTTTTCGTTTTCGCGTTTGAGCGAGGAGTTTTTGTCGCATTTGCCGAGCCCACAAGCGCAAGTTCGGGTTGCGGGGGTCTCGGCGAGGCTGCAGGAAAAGCCCTCTAGCCTCTGCACGGAGCGAGAGGTCCGTCAGGGATCCCCCTGACTTTGGGTATGACCCTCACGCTTCCTTTTCGCTCGGAGGGAGGGGTGGAACGTGTCAGGCTACCCTCGATGGGCACGAGCGTGGGCACTTCCGGTGAGCT